TTTTTTTTTTGAGAAAATAGAGGTTGAGGGTTTTTGAAAAAGCGGAATTTTGAATTCGTTTTCACCCAAACCTTTTGAATTTACGAGAAGCTTTATACGACATTATTGAAAGTACATATTCTCATAAATGCATTAGTGTAAAAAAATCGCCGATCATGTCAATATTAACGACGTGAAAGACAAGTCAAAAAATATGACATTGTTGTATTTTTTAAGAACAAAATAATTATAGAAATATGTCGTTTATGTCATCTCAGAGTACATTAGGCATTATTCCCATCAAAAGTTAAAAGAACAAATTTGGAGGCGTTTTTAAGAAAATCTTGTTTTTGTTATTTTTAAAATTGCATACACTGTACGCAATATTGCGCGACAACTACTAAAAATTTTAAAAAATGTACATGACTTTAATGAAATAACACAATACGAACAACAAATTTCTTTTGAAAGAAAAGTCTATCTCTAACTTTGTAGTTGTAGGAAAACTCCGAAGAAGTCAATCCTCGCAATTATCGAAAATTCAGAGACTCTGCCACCTTTATAGGTGTATTTTACTCTATCATTACAATAAATTTAAAGAACAAATTTGGAGCTGCTTTTAGAATATTTTGAAAATATTCCAAGGACTTCATGTAAAGTACCCCCAAAGTTTGAAAAAAATCAAAGTCACAGTGCCTTTAGTTGAGCCAGATCAAACAGAGAATATCATTTTTGGAAAAAAAATCGTACGTATAGCTTAGGCGCTACAGGTGTTCACAGACGGACCGACAGAGAGACGGACGGACGTTTGAAAAAAAACACTTTTGCGGTATCAGGGGATCCCAAAACGTGTATTTCTGTTGAAATCTCGAAATCGAATTTCCGCAGCATTACATACATTCTATTATACGTACGTACATACTCCGTATATACGTACGTATAATAGAAAGTAAAAATATAACGTCAAATCAAGTTGGGTAGCTAGACTGAATACGAAAGTGAGGGGGAGAGGCGAAGGGCCTGATTCTCCTGTTGAAAAAAGTAGACACTATTTGCTAGAAGAAAACCAAAATACAAACCAAAATTATAATTATGTGATTGCATCTTGACTATTTTGTTAAAGGGTTCTATGTTTAATGTGAGCTTGCATTAATTAATTAGCACAGTAATTTTATCCACAAAACATTGACACTCATTATCAATATTCAACTCTGCAGTGCTCAGATAATCATCACAAAAGGGGACGTAAAGGCAAATTGAATGAGCAGATGCGCAACTGCGAAACGAGTCATATTCGAGACGTTTGACGGATTAGCTATTCCGGGCCCGTCATCTGCTAAGGTCATTAGTCCCGTAATTCTAGTACAAGGAAAATTGCATTTTTCTATGCGAAACTGTAAAATTCTCTTCACTCTCCCACTTTTGAAGGGTAATTTCACTCTTTGGACTTTGGCCAGCAGAAAAGCAAAATTGGAAGACATTCCTTCATTACTCCCAGTAATCCAAAAGTCAGTAAAATTGGAGAGGGACAGCTCCGGATGTTGGTACGCAAAAACCGCCAAGAAAACTGTCTAAATGGTATGCTTTTTTCCACTTCTAAGAAACACAATTTTGAAGATTGGTATCAACATATAAGTTAGAATATTTAATAAACCTAATTAATGGAACTGTACTATTCTGGATAGGATATCATCCTCTCTTGCACTACCCTCTACAGGCGGCTGTGTCAACTACTTCAACGTTTCATCCCAGCTGAGGTGTCTCAGAACACCAACCCATGCAATGCCTCTGACCGCATAATTCGATTCCGGATGGTGGTAGTAGTTTCACACTAATTCCACAGCTAGGCTGAGTTCAGCTGCTGTCTTGAGGAGAAATCTACCGGCCGGCTGTTCTATTTGGTACTTTTCCGTGGCATCTCCCACCAATACCGGCGAATGCCGGATCAGTACCCTAACAAACAAACCACGGACCGCGCGCGATGTTTCTCTTCCTCTTCCCCGTCCTATCCTCATCCCTTACTTACACATACACACACACGCCCTACGTGCCCTACAGTATCACACATGTGGAGAGACCATTCGGGAGCTTAGACTCTGAGTCGGCTGGAGAGGAGCCCCGCTGGTGGGATATACTTGTGTTTGGGAAGAAACTCGCAAGCCAACCTGTAGGTCAGAGCCAGATCTCATCGTCCAGCGGAGGAAGAACACCGCCACTTCCCTTGATTAAAAGAAAACATACTTCACTTTCGGGACTAAACACTACAGCTGTTGACGCGCCCGGTAATACGAAACAATCAATCAACGCTTCGCGGGACGTAGTCGGTGACACAGGCCAAGGACCACGACGCATCTAGGCGTGGACATAGCCATTGGCGCAAGACATTAATGTAAACTCGCGTGGACTGGCAGAAGCCAGCTTGAACGAGCCATCCCAACCGACAGACCTTACTCTCTTATTCCATCGCAAGTCAACGTATACAATCTCTTTGTATTCTTTGTGCGCGAGCCGGGACTTGCCTTGAAACTGGTTTAGAATTTTAAGAAAGTGAGAACCATTCTCTCAGACATATTCGGCACGAGTACGCAAGCGCGTCTTGCCCTTGCTTCGTCGGTCTGCGTGGGAGAAAACACCTTCAAAAATTCGTTGGTCGTGAGAAACAAAACTCTCTAAATTACTGGGGGGGATGTTATCTAATCTGAAACAATACGGATATAATTGAATTCGTTGATTTAAGGCTGGTAAATTCAAGACTTGTGAGTGAAGTTTCATATAAAAAAGATTGTGATGAATGTCTCGAAAAAAACAAGGATGGTAAGAATGCAATACATGCTGGTAGTGACATTGCATCGTGCTATAATATGCAAATTGCATTGCAACGTCTTGACAGCTCAATAATGGTCAGAGCAGCTACGGTTTTTGTCAGTAGTCATTGTGTAATCACCTGCTCGAATGACAATTTTCCTCCAGCAACAAAAAAGCTGCTAGGCAAAATCATAGATAATAATTTTTCAAAAGTAACACACACACACACACACACACACACACAGTGCTCAATAGAAACAAACAAGATTCTCTCGTTTAACACTATTAAATTAAATATTTTAACAAAATCAGTTTTCGCGAACATAGTATATACAAATGCATAGCACAATTCTTTCCATACCAAGAATATCTAAGAAGTTGCTGCTCCATAAAGCAACACGCGAATATCAGATATTTATAGGCGGACTTGGAGATTTGCTGTCTCATGGCATCAGCTGTGCCCTAAGCAGTGACGTACAGGGTAAGAGAATTCCCTCGGTACGTTCAGTATGAGAATATGTGGACAAACGCAATGAAATATTTGCAATTATCAGTTGAAATCGAAACTGTTTCACTGTTGTCATGTTTTCGTATACGTAGGTATATACGAAGTAATATCTTGAGAGCTGAATAATTGTAAGAAATGCTCATATTACGTAGTACGAATATATGTAGTATAGAGAAAGTTATGAAATGATGCTGAAATCGATTTCAAGAGATTTCAATTGAAATACACGTCTGGAAAAGTGTTTTTTTTTTTTATCACGTCCGTCCGTCTGTCGTCTTTGAACAACACTAACGCCTGAACTGTGCGTAGGGTTTTTTTCCAAACAGAATACTCTCCGGTCGATGTGGCATCACTCGAAGCTCTGCGATTTTAAATATCAGTCTTTAATTATTGGGAGTACTTCGCATGAAGCCCCTGGGACTTCAATTTTTTCTCAAAAATGGCTTAAGTTTTTTCTTTAAATTTTTGTATAGTTAGAATCCATGTTTTGTGGGTCCTTCATAATGACAAATTGGTTTACGGTAAAACGTCTGTCAGTTCTTCCGTCTGTAGTCAACTCGAAAGCGTTTGCAGGTTTTTCTCCAAAATTAATATTTCTTTTGCGATCTGGCGGAACTTGAGATCATGCGAATTTGAAATGGATATTTTGATTTTTGATATTTACATGTACCCTCAACAATATTTTGAAAACATTCTCAAAAATGACACAAAATTCGTCATTTTTTTCGGGGATAGAGCAAAGTGCGCTTAAAAATGGCGCGTCTCAATCTCTTTCAACTGTCCGAATTTTCGATAATTGCAAAAGAACAAATCTTTTTGGCATCTTCCTACAATTACAATAATGAAAATAGGTATTCTTCTTCACTTAAATCTGCTCTTATAAGTCATATCTTCCAAGGTCTTTTACATTTTTTCGAAAATGTGAGTATTTTTCGCGCAATTTTGAATTGAATATAGGACGTTTTTAAACAATTACTTTCTCAAAAACCGCTTCAATTTTTTTCTTTAAGATTTTTCTCGAACACAGGAAATTACGCTTATAAAATTGACTCAGGTCTTTTTTTCAGTGCACACACTGAATTTTCGAAAATTGCAAACTACATTATTGATACATTTTTCACTTAAAAAAGTCTTCTGTAAAATTAGATCTTTCAATAAGGGCATGTACAATTTGGGGGGGGGGGGACGAGTAGTTTTCACGTAATCATTGCTTGAAGTGAAAGCAGATTTAAAAATAATATTTTCTCAAAAATGATTGCAAAGGTTTTCTTTATTTTTTATGGAATAGAGTAAAGTATGCTTATAAATATTGCGTAGGTTCTATTAACGTTGAACTCTCTGTATTTTCTAAAATTACAAAAATGCAAGTAATGCGAGAAAGTAGGTACCGATGAATCACCACTAGTTTTTAAGAATCAGCAAATGAAGAGAGTTGGAAACTGCTTATTTAATAAGGGAAAAGGAAGAACTCATCTCCATTCTCCACCTGGCCGATAGAATGAATTGACACCATGTTCTGCAAGTTAGAACCAATAGGTAAGTCTATTATTTTCCAAATATTGGCTCAGTATAAAGTGGTCACTACCATCGCGGAAAGAGATGCTTGAGCTACTCCGGCGCACCGATTTTTGGGGGTTCTGCGCAGCACCAGTTTGTGTCATGGTCAACGAGCTAGTATATTCTACATATACTGCCTGAAGCCAATTTTTGCAGAAAATTGAAGCTATGACTTCTGTAAACAAATCAGCGCTCTCTGGAGAAAGAGAGTATTCTAGCTTTCCGTTTGACGTTGGTTACGGCCGGGTGGGCGTGGGCCGCGCGTTATATAAATTCTGTATTCCACGATCAAAAACCGATAATTTAAAAACGAAATCTCAATATGTAAGGGAACGAATTGAGAAACTTTAAAAACACGTTGCTGTGTCGGTTACTTCATAAGAATGGAAGCTGTTGAAATGTTATTGCAGTTAGCACAACGCCTGAAAGTGAATATTATTGCAATAAGAAGTAAACAGATCACAAAAAAGGCGGCAAACTCGAAAAATGATATATATGTGGTTTGATGACTTCTATTTTTTCAGTTATATGCCGAACATACTAAAGGCATTGTGATTATTATTATTATTATGATTATTATTATTATTATTTTAATTATTATTATTATTATCCTAACCACTAATATAATAAAGATAAACGAAAAGACAACAATATAGAAATAACATCCGATACAAACAGCACGCCATCATCAGACACCTCTCATGTTTTACTGAAAAAACATTGCGGCGTCGAACATCGACCAAGAGCATAGGGTCAGCCACTCTATGTAGTAATAAAGCTTATTGATCATGGTCCACAACATGGGCACTTCGTGAGAAAAGCTAGACCAGACGCTGTCCGTATAGACTGAAAAGTGTTGACAAAGATTTTGAAAATGGCATAAAGCAACAATTTTCAACACTGACCAACCGAAATTAACACGATGAAAGAGTACAAAATACAATATATAAAAGAAATGCTTCATATATCTGTTTCAGTGACTTAAAACAATGTCATAATTTTGGTATCTGGCTGCATTTAAAATTTTCGCTAATATTGTGACGCAAACTAGTGCCTGAAGCTCATTGGCTGAAATCGGATACGAGGCGCAATAGATCACCCATCTCTTTCCATCATGATCACTACTGAAACACTGGCCCCTACTAGTATATTTTCCTTTGTTTTTTTCTATTCATTTTTTATATACTCGAATTTATTTATTAATTTTTATATACTCGAATTTATTTATTCATTTATTTATTTATTTATTTATTTATTTACTTATTTTATATTTATCTAACCTTAGCTGCAAACACAGACGGAGCACTCACCCGCGTTGTTGATGAGCAGGTGGATGTGCGGCTCCGAGCGCAGCAGCTCCTTGGCGCACGCTCGGACCGACGCCAGCGACGCCAGGTCCAAGTGCAGCACGCGCACGGCGCCCGCGCCCGCCACTCCCGCCGCACGCTCGCGCACGCGTTGCGCCGCCGCCTCCGCCTTCTGCAGGTCGCGGCACGCCATCACAACGCGCGCCCCTGCGCACGCGCACGCCACGGCGCGGCGTTACCCGACAGGGCTTCTCTGCTGGCGAAACGCTGCACGGCCCTCCGTCCGCCCTGTACGCGCGCCGGCCGGCCGGGGCACAGTGGGAAGACGGGGCTGGGCTCCGCGTCACTCAATTGACTTAGTCATTATGAAGTGGTTCCGGGCGCGCCAACTGCTGTGGTCATTAATCCCGTAAGTGTTGTACGTGTTTTATCGCGAGGTGTTCTTCCCACGTTGTATGATGAGATCCGGCGCCGACCCATACGTCCACCAGCGAGAAAGTTCTAAGCTCCTGACTGGTCTGCCGACAAGACTGGTAGTGTAGTGAATGTAAATCCCATCGCCCTCCAATTTTTGTTTATCGCGAAAAACCATAGTGAAATTGTATTTATATTTTCGGGAGTTGTAGTCAGACCCGAAGTCTGGAGATGTTTCGCAATGTATGTCGACGTGCTGAATCCGATAATGAAGCCAGAATTGCGCCACTACAATCCATTTTTTTTAATCGCAAAAATACCCTCGTATTTACAATCTACAGTTTCACGGTAATTTTCGCAATAAAAAAAAATGGCAGGTGGTGGCACTTCAGATTCGGATTCAGCGTTTCGACATACATTGAGAAACATGTGTCAAGTCTTTGGATCTGACGTTTCTTTATTTTGTGTGCCTGTGTTATTAATGTGTTTATATCAGTTATTAATTAAAAGTGTTGAATTAACTACATATTTTATACCGTTGTAATTTTTTTTTCTATAAGAAAACGTAAATTCAATAAAAACTTCCTTAAATAGCACTACCCATTTGAAATATACAGGTTTCGCCGGCCCTGGTGTACACATCTTAGGGCTGATAATATCACATCTTAAAGCCATTGCACAGTATGAATTCTGGGTGAGTCAGGGGTGGATCCAGCCAATCACTGGGGGGGGGGGGATCATATATTTTTTGCTAAACAAAAAACATTCTTCGCTCAACCGCAGTCACGTTCGGACGTGCTCCGCAGTGCCTGCAGTGACCGGCCATCTAGCCGAGTGCAGCGTGCTACGAACTATGTTGGGCCATCTGATGTCTTAGTAGGCGCATTAGTGCATCTATTATTAAGCAATATTACAATTTATTTCAGTTAGTACAGATAAATTCAAACTCCCCAGTGTTATTGCCCCAAATGATAACAAAATTCGCTCAACATCACAACTTATCGGCGAGGCCGTCCGCATCGACAATGGCCTCACGACTACTCACCTGAAGAAAGCATGGCTTCATCCCAACTATCTGGCGAGTCTTTCCCAAATGCCGTGAGTTTACATCAGCCTTACTCACAACAACTTCAACCCCGGGTGCTCTCGTCAACGTTTGATATGTCAGAAGAAAGAGGGATATCAGCACATGGTAACGAATCGATGCCGCAAGGTGCAGCATCCTCTAGTGTCCACCCCTTGTTGCAAGAGTTCCCTTTAACGACTAATGCAGACAATACAGAAACCAATCCTAATGAACAATTAAATGCACAAAATTCAAAGAGATCACTCGAATATAACGAAAACTCTTCTATTTCTGCCAAGAAAATGGCAAATGAACACATATACTCAGTGACAGTGCAATATCGATTCGAAAGGTGGTTAGCTGATCTCAATGAAACAGAATCACCAGTTAACGTTCCTCTAATATTTTTATACGTTTTAACTGATATGACAGAATTCACAGTATTTCTGAAATCAGTGCTAAAGGGTAAAAAACCCATCGAACTTAAATACAACAAAGTAAAAGAGTAAACTTATTCAAGTGAAGATTACACACTGTTAATTAAATCCTTAAACGGGAATCGAAAACAACGTACTCAGATCATAGAACTAATTAAAGAAAACTATTGGAAAGACATTTATGAACTAAATCGACTTTGCAATGCAGTCGTGCATGTAAAAGACCAAAGACAGCGACCGGGCCCCATTCCATGTGCGCGTTGCCAGGGTTACTATCATATAATATTGCGTGTGTAGTAGTCAGAAAAATCAGAACCACCCTGCCCCAGCGAGTGGGGCGGTAGGCAACATTGAAATCTTAAATAGGAACCCCCATTTTTTATTTCACATTTGGATTCTACGGACAAAAATACATACGTTTTGTCTGAAACTTTCCATCTGAGTGTTCGTTGGCGGCCTACGTACCTCTGAGTACGAAGTCTTCCACGGTGCAGAGACCAATGCCCGTGTTGCATCCCGTCACAACCGCCGTCTTGCCATCCAGCCGAGCCGTGCTGGAGCACTTTGCAAATATTAGCCCCATTGTTCCTCTGGACATAGAAAAAAACTAATGAAATACACATGAAATTAGTTTGTAATTCACTTCATTAAGAGTAGCTGGAAAACAGTAAATACAAATAAGGGTCAATTAGAAGATGAATTTAAGGAGTAAGTGAATGAGTTTTCACGACTCAGAGAGTGATAATGGTCGAAATAAAAGGATGTATCCGTCCATAACGGTTTTTAATATTTTATTCATCCGCTTCCTTAGGGGGACTCAAATTCAGTTCGTGTTACGGCGCAATTCGTGTTAAGAGAGTTATTTGATTGTTTCGTTAAACAAGGCTTGTGCCGCTTGATTGATTGATAGTGATTTCGGGCGCGTCATCGGCCAGTCATTAGTCCCGTAAGTATAGTGCGTGTTTATTCGCGGGCTGCGGGCTGATCTTCCCCCGCAGGATGGCGAGATCCGGCACCGACCTACGTCGGTTGAAGGGATTTTCCCCAACCAGCGTGACACCGCCCCAGCCGGGACAAGCTCTAATCGCCCGGTATGTGTGGTAGTGCAGTACATGTAAATAAGTGTACGTAAGAGATGAGGAAAGGGCAAGGAAGAGGAAGGAAAGATCGCGCACGGTTCGTGGTACATTTCGTAAGAGTACTGCTCCGGCATTCGTTGGGTGTTGATCGGAGAAACCACGGAAAACTACAGGCCAGAGCATCCGTCCTCTAGAATTCTCCTCCAGATAGAGGCTCAGCCTCGAGAATTCGACTCTGGTGACAAGCTAGCGTCGAAAATCCTGCCACCGTCAAGACTCGAAACCTAGGACCACCCGGGCAGAAACTGCTGTGACAACATTTAAAATTTACACACAAATGATTTTATAATTCATTAATAAGAGACACGAATTTCATTCATTTTCAAATGTTAAAATATGTGTGCACGATGAAAGTTAAAAATGAACACAAGTATTTGCACAATCAATTTGTTTACAGTTTTTTTGTTGCCTTAAGTTCTTTGTCACCATGAACAATTAACAATCTGCCTAAAGTTTTCAACCAAGTTCATCCGTTTTTCAGAAAAAAATGCTTTGAATCCAAAAAAACCGCATTCGTCACAAAACGTAATTGGAGCGTTTTTCAAATATCGTTGTTTTTAAACATCGAAGTTTTTTAAATCTGATTTAATAGCGTCTAGTAATTTTGGCGCGGAGAAAAATTAAATTCGATACTAGTGGTCATGTTGATTGCCTAATTACGAGTAAGATTTAACTGTCAAAAAAGTAAAATTATAATAATCCACAAAACTTTTATTATATGAGGAGAAATAGAAACAAAGATGACTTACTTTATTATTTTGTCGACGAAAATGCAATTAACACTTTCTTATTTAGTCTAACTATTATAGGCCCAATATTTTTATTGATAGTGTGTAAAAACAGTTTGCACACGAATAGCACTGATATCTACTAACTTCACGTCCTCGCGAGAAACTGAGTCTAAAAGCGTCATCGTAGGAGTTCAGAGCTTCCTCAGATCCCCGAAAAGGAAACTGAAAGGAGGACGACTACGGACCTTCGCTTATGGCGCCGCATACGTTGACGCCTCTCCGCGTGATATGAAGATGGGCCTAGGAAATATTAGGGCATCGGGCTCATCGCTCAGCCGAGAGATGCTCTTCTCTGCTCGATGAAGATCAGTCCGTTTGAACACGTGAATCGTCAGTTTTATTTCTTACAAAATTGTAATTATTGTGCTGTTTTTTCCATGTACAGAAAAAATCGATAACGAATATAAAAATAGATGTTAAAAATTCATCAACGTTAAAACATCGGTGTTCTTATAAAACCTTCTGTCCGTCCGTCCGTCTGTGAGCAATGCTAGCGGCTAAACCGTTCAGCCGGTTTTCATCCAAAATGAATATTCTCCTGTCAATCTGGCTGATGTCGCGGCCCCTTGAATTTGAAACAGGTATTTTTATTCTGGGGCTTCCTTTACATGAAGCCCCTAGAACAATTTCAAAATTTTCAACAAAAATGCTCGATTGTTTTTTATTAAATTTTGTTATTGGATAATGTAATAAATGTTTAAGTGCAGTTCTCTCTTTTTTTTGAAAACGCCTATTTTTTGAAAATTGCAACGGTCCAAAATAATTTCTGAGTCTTCCTACAACTAAAATATCAAAGATAGAGATATTTCCCTTAATAAAATCTGTTTCTTAAAGAGATATTTTGAAACAAAGTCATGTACAATTATTCGAAAATTTGAGTATTTTTGCGTACTTTTATTTGAAATATAGGCCATTTTAAATTGTTGTTTAAACATTTTTTGGCTCCATTGCTTTGATAAAATTTTGATAGTGGATAGTCTGAAGGACGTTTAATTTAAAATTGTAGGTCTCATGTCGGTTGAAAACTTAGTCGTTGAAACGATATAATTTTTCGACAACTGAAAAAATTCAAAATTCTTTTGGCGCCATCCTACAACTACAATTATGAAGATACAATATTTTCTTAATGATAATGTTAATCTAAAACAGTTCTTCAAATAGGTAATGTCAATTTTACGAAAATATGAGTATTTTTTAGTAATTTTGCGTCAAACACATGCCGTTAATTCCGTTAATTCATGCGCTTCTTGACCGTAATTTTATAGGTGTTGCGTTAGTTAGAATTTGTATATTATTTCATATTTCATTTAGATTTATTTAATAAAAAACAGTAAAAACTGTATGTGACATAACGGAGAAGATCATCTGCGCACGTTTTCTTCAGTTCCAGAATCCCTTCCCATTATTTTAACTATAATAGTTGAGAGATGAGTAATAGTTAAAGATAAACACATAAATAAATAAACAAATAAATAAAATTTTAAAAATCGCGAGGTACATAACATTTGAAAACCTAGACATTTTCGTTACCAAGTTATAGAAAATTTATTTGTTTGTTAACTAGTTTTCCTACATTACAAACAAGAATTATATACTCTATCGTTGTGAATTTCTGTTGAAATTCAATCTTCGCGCTACAGAATTACATAACTTATTATACGCAGTAATGTGCGAGAAAGTAAAGATACATGGAGCCGTACGATTTTGTATTTAATTTATTATCCACGGCAAGCATTTACCTGAAACACGTTCTTCCTTTCACCGATTTCACGTTAGACGAATCTAATAAGCTAAAACTTCACCCCAATTCACTTCGAGTCTTTGCAGTGTTTTTCTTGAATCTAAAATTTCAGTAAAATAGACTTTTCATCTTTACTAAATGTAAAATTAAACTGATGTCGTTTTCTAATGAGTTTTATTTACTCCTAAAAAATAACTTCTACGTGTTTTGCAAAATATTAATATTAGAAAATGGAACAGTTTGTCCAATTTTGCTCAAGATCAAATTCACCAGAAAAATTAGAAGAATTAAAAAAAAATATAGGCACAATAATCGAACCTGGTATGAAATCTGAAAGATCAAAGAATAATAATGATGCCGAAAAGCTAAAAGTACTCGTTGCCATTTTTAAGAAATTAACACATCCGAGGAACTACTACAAAGACACAAATTTCAAACAAATATAGCGAAATTCCAAAAACTGAAAAGCTATATAATATGAGGTCAAAGGCTTTCACTAGTCTACTTACAAAACGAGAAAAGCGAATTAATTCCTCTGAACAAAATGTATTCAAGGACGCTGTGGCCACAACAAACAAGGCTAATTAACAAATAATGTTTTGAATGAAGCGTTCCGATTTATATCTGCATAGCTCCACTACCTTCAATTGATATTAAAAACATCGCGATGGGAAATATAGCACTTGGACGTTAAATGAGAAAACAATATTGAAACCCTCATACAGCTGAGAACAAGTTTTCAATAAACGCCAGCTATAGAAAGTTCTTATATATATATATATATATATATA